TCTAAAGTTAAAACTATGAAATAACACATTTAAATTATTTAAACAATTTTAATTAACAAATGCCTCATATTGTTAATTTTTACAAGGAAGTCATCATTTTTTACACAAGATCATTTTAATATAACCAACTTACATTTAAAAGTAATAGAATAAAAATATAACAATTCAATAATCGATTATTTAAACAATATTAATTAACAAATGCTAAAAAATATTAATTTTAATATTTAACCCATTAAGTCTTATGAAGAAATCAATCATTGCATTAAAAAATTAAAAATTGTATTAACAGGCAAACTTAAAAAAAAGAGGTTTTTTGTATATAATTTCCAATTTTTTAACAATAATTGTTGAAACAAATTAGTTAATAAAAACATTTTATTTTTAAAAACTGTTGTCGCCAATCGATTCTGTGCAAAAAATTAAGAAATTTTAGTACCTATGGATTATTTTTTTGTCCAAGTCGTATTTTGTTTACAAAATTGTTTTAAACAAATTATGCTGCATAAATAGTGTTTCACTCCAAGGATAAAGAAATGGATTTAAAGTAAAATTAACAATCAGATTCATAGGCAAATTGTAAAAATTATTATGTATATACCTGTTTTTTGTTCTTAATTTCCAATTGCTTTTGCTTGGGATGAAATACCATATTTATTCAGCATAATTTGTTTAAAAAAATTTTGTGAACAAAATACGACTTGGACAAAAAAATAATCCATAGGTACTAAAATTTCTTAATTTTTTACACAGAATCGATTCGCGTCAACAGTTTTCAAAAATTGTTAAATGATTATCAATTTGTTTAAGCAATTGCAAATTAAAAGCTAAAAAAGGTATTTCTTCTATTCAATATGCATATGAATCCAATTGTTTGTTAATTTTAATCCTATACGATAAATAATTCTATTATTTATTTTTTTATATTAAAAATGCTTAATTAATTAAGCAAATTAATTGATTGAGTGAAGTCTGTGTATAAATTCGCTCCCGGGCGAATGTCGAAAAGTTACGTCAAAAATTAGATTAGATTTAAGGCGTACTTGCGTTTGCAAAGGCAAAAAATGGCCCCACTGTAATGTTTTTTTTCACAGACATTTTATTTAAAATATTATAAACGATTCTTGCACCTTAAAGTACATTATAAAAACTACCAAAAGAAAAAATTGTTTCGTTTTTTAACCGTTATTTACGATTCGTAGAGGGCCCCAAAAATTGTCGATCTCAAATTTGTAAGAGTTTGCGGTGCCCCGCATAGAGCCTCTCCTTACTGTCTAAAATCAAAAAAACAAAATTTATTCTTTAGTATACATTAATACTTAGTGGACGTATATGATGAAATTAAAAAAAAGTAAAAAAAACGATAATGCGGTACTTTTAAAGTCAAAAATTCAAAAGATCAAAATCATCATTTCTTAAAAATTGCCCGAGTCGAACTTTTAGACCTTCTTACCTCCTTGTAAGTATAATTTAACCCTAACCTGCACCTAAGAAACCCTTGGTGTTCTTTTCCTCCTGCGTAAGTTCTATTTAACACTGACAACTCCTTTTTAAGTCCTAATTGAACCTTAATCCCTGTATTGATTCAATTAAATTCTTACAATAGCAAATATTACGCGCGGAACAAGATATTTAACTTATTATTGTTATGCAAATTACAAAATTTTTTATTTTGAAAATTTCAATTTATTTTATAAATAGTAAAATTCTTTGCAGGAATTCAATTATTTTAATTGAATTCGACGAGTAGAGAGTACCGATGGCGCATTCATTGCCGCGCAAGCACGTGGTTTCTCATACTCCGCGCTATACCTCACGAGAGACCCGCGAGATATATTATTTCGTTGCACGGACAATTTCTTCAGTTCGCCGCCGAAGCCGAACTCTCTCGGGGCTTGCTCCAAGGCAGTTCAACAGCAACTCTCTCTTTCTTCTCTCCACCCTTACCTTTCGATCTAACGCCGAGGCTCAGGTACAACTCTCCCAAGGAATGAGATCTTCCTCTCTCAGGCCAGGTACATCTGTGCTACTTCCTTTCTCTCTTTACCTGGTGCGAGCAGGCGGTATCTCAGGTACAACTGGGGCTGCTAGCTTGTACTTAATTCCTCTCTACCTGGAGTAGACAGGCGGTATCTCAGGTACAACTGGGGCTGCTAGTTTGCGCCACTTCCTAGAGGGAGCTGTACTCGAGACTCAGGTACAACTGAGCAGCAGTAACACCCTTCGTTACTCCGTCGTTCTTTCTCGCTTTTATGCATTTGGTCAGGCCAGGGGTACATCCGTGGAAGACTTTATGCATAATTTCTATCTAAGCTTTTGTGAACCAACCCTGTGGTGAAGAGGTAAAACTCGACCTCCACAGAGTTGATGCACCAGGTTGAATCTTTGACCCAAGGTACATCTTGGGGAAAGATGTTTAACATCTTTTCTTTATTCGCACTAAAATACGTGACGGGCATGAATACCGTAAGTTCGGTATCTAGTTTCTTTCGATTTTGAAATCGTCCTAGCGTGCACGACCCTAGTAATCGTTCGTAACGTAATTTAAGGGTAAATTCTAGAGCCTACCTTCGCGAATAAATGAGCGTCGACCTTTTGTCTTTACTCCTTTTATCTTTTATTCTTTTTATCTTTTATTCTTTTATTTCTTATTTCTCTTTAGCTAGTTTAGGAATTATTATTTTATTGTTATTAGTTAATTTAGGTATTTTTATATTTTTGCATTATATCGAGTTTATTATTTTATTATTGTTATATTCTTTATTTTCTAATACTTACCTTCATTATTTTATTCTTTGTATTATTTCTTATTTTATTTGTTTAAAATATATTTTCTTACGAAGGTTTAAATTATGCCTCTTCAATGACTACACCTTACATCCAAGATCACAAACCTACTTAAACTAGTTACTAATTTAGATGATATTTCAAGGCAAACTAAGTTTTAGATTAAATTACTAAATTTAACTAAATTCAATACCCGGATTCTATCCGGCGAGCTATTCTTTTGGCAAATTAAAATCATGATCATTACAAACTTTGTAATAAAATTCTTTGCAACTATTCGAAGATTGTCAATACACATTAAATTTAAAATTAAAATTATTTGAAAAAGAAAAATTATAAAAAAGTTTAGAAACAAAAAAGCAAACAACAACTATCATTTTTATTATTAATTTATAAATATTATTTTTAACTTAAATGTTTTGACATTTTTTTTTAATTATAAAAATATTAATTTATGAATAATGGGTTATTATTATATTATTAATATTGTTAATATTATTATTAAACAATTTATTTATTTGATGTAGTGTATTAGTGTCAATAAATGCTTTATTGAATCACCAAAATCAATAACTCAACAAGTCACTGAAAATAAAGCGTCTGTGTTCAGTTAGGTTCCGTAGCATAGTGGTTAGGGCGTTAGTTTCGTAGTCCGTACACTGTAAAAAATTTAGGGAGTTAACAGACTCGGGAGTTGGGAGTTAAATTTTTCGAGTTAAAAATCAACTCCAAAAGAGAGTTAATTTCTAACTCCCTTCATTCAACACCCGCGCGAGTTATTTTTTCCATGGGGAGTTAGCATTTGGGTGTTAAATTTTAACTCTCTTTATTTAACTCCCCTGGCATTAACTTTCCAATGGGTGCGACTTTTACAGAATCCCCTGGGGAGATAAAATTTAACTCCCTTTTTTTACAGTGTAGTTCGTAGGTCGTAGGTTCAAGTCTCGCGTGCGTTATATTATATATTTATTTCGTAGGTTTGCGTTTATTCCGATTTCTCTGTATTGTATAGGTATTAGTAGACAATTTAATAATTATATTACAACGCTAAATAATTTAATTAACAAATATTTAATTTAAATTTTTTTTATATTTATATATAAAGGGATATGTATTAATCCCCACATATATACTAACATTAATTATGAATTTGCTATTGGTCATGATTAAATTAAAAAAAGTAAAAATCATTAAATAATAATGTCATTTATTAATAATTGAACTTATTATAAAAATTAGTTAAAAATGATCTAAAATATGCTATGAGCAGTTTTTTCAGGGTTTCGGGAAAGGGTAGAATTCTGTAAGTAAGGGTCAAGCAGTATTTAATAAGGTTCTAGGAACACCTGCTTTTCCCCTTTTACCATCTAAATTTGTCGCTAACCAGGGGTTTGCAGGAGGTAATCAGAGTTAACTTGCAATGCAAATAAACTCTGATTTCATCCTTTTACATCCTTAAAAACCCTCAGTTTTAAGGATGTAAGCAGGTCTAAAAGTTCGACTCGGGTGACTTTAAAAGTACCGCATTTTCGTTTTTTTAATTTCTATTTAATTTCATCATATTCGTCCACTAGGTATTAATGTATACTAAAGAATAAATTTTGTTTTTTTGATTTTAGACAGTCAGGAGAGGCTTTATGCGGGGCACCGCAAACTTTTACAAATTTGAGATCGCCATTTTTGGGGCCCTCTACGAATCGTAAATAACGGTTAAAAAACGAAACAATTTTTTCTTTTTTTAGTTTTCATAATGTACTTTAAGGTGCAAAAATCGTTTTTAATATTTTAAATAAAATGACTGTGAAAAAAAACATTAAAGTGGGGCCTATTTTTTGCCTTCGCAAACGCAAGTACGCCTTAAACCTACCTACAAAGTTATTCGAATTCTATGCTTCATAATATAAAGAATTAGCGTAATCTTAATATTAAGTTTCAATCACTAAAGTTGTTATAAACTGACATCTGTTTTTAAAAAATTCCATAAAATTAATTATTCAATTGTTAAAAACAATATTGTAACGAGTAAAAAACAGTTGGTTGGCGTGCGCGAAGTAAATAAATGTACAAGCAGTAATCAGTTTATAAAAATGAGTGGCAAATGGAAAGTTGCACAAGCGCGCTTTTTTTTGCTAGTTATTAATAAATAAGATAGATTATATAAAAATATATATAATAATATATAAATATGAAGTTAATATAAATTTTAAATTTACCTTTTCCTCCATGAATCGCAACGGCCTCGACTCCTTTTAATAAAAGATATTCGTGAATTGCGTCGACATCTTGTTTCTTTTCCGCAAATATAAGAACGGGTGGATGAGTTTTTTGTAAACATTCCAAAAGATATACAATTTTGGCTTCTTGCTTAACATATTCAACTTCCTGAATGACATTCATGGATGCAGCACCTGCACGACCCACATTTATAGTCACTGGCTTTACCAATGCCGAACGAGCAAAGTTTTGTATCTTTTTTGGCATTGTCGCTGAGAAAAGCAATGTCTGCCTTTGACCCTGAAATAAAATATATTCTTGACTATGTGGATCCAGGAAATTATAATGTTCGAGTAAATATTATTATAAAATTAACAAATAAGTAAAACGATATCGACTTTGTATAATTAGAAAATTATATGAACTATTAACCTATTAACTATGACTTAATTTAATTAGAAAATTATCAATTTAATAATTATTTGATTGCTAAATAAATCGTATTTAGTATGTTAGAATTTTTCGCTGATTGCTAATTTGAATTACGAAGAAAGATTTCGACTTTATCAGCAAATAGTGACATCTATTATCTATTCTTACGACTGCTAAAATCTTAAATAAGACCTACATTGTTGGTTGAAAGTAGGGCTTAAATTTTGACTCAGGTCTGTTTTCATAAATATTACACGAATAAAAATTAAAGTAAAAAGCAATTTTTTAAAATCGAATTAATATATACTACCGTCCACGAGTATCAGGGCAATTACACGCGACTCTATAAAAAAAACATGCCATCACTTTTTCAATCCTATCTCATAAATAAAAGGATATACAAAAAAAATTTAAATACGGTTAGAAAGCTGATTAAATTTTGCGTAAAATAAGCCGTCTTTGAAGTCATTACGTTAACTATTTTTTGAGTTGTAGAGTGAGAAAGAAATAAAAAAAATTATCCAATTTTCTCATTTTTGTCACTTGATTTCAACTTTTTTAAAAATCTAGAAAAATTTAGATAAAATTTTTCTAAAAACACATAAATCTTTGTTAGAATTTCAGCTTTAAAATAAGCCTTCAAAAATTAGAAAAGATTAATCCGTTTTCGATATATCATTAAAAATGTGAAGCCGTGTTTCGACCGATGTGCATTGAAATTCAACTGTGACGACTCGATTCTAGCTTCGCGCGGCTGCGAATGAGAGAGAAAGCAGGGACGAATTCATGCGGGGAAACGATGAACTTTCGAGTTTCTCTATATTATTCGTGAAACATCAGTATTTATTATTCCCCAGCATAATTCCGTCGCTGTTTAATCTCCCATTCGCAGCCGCGCGAAGCTAGAATCGAGTCTTTACAGTTGAATTTCAATGCACCGATCGGTCGAAACACGGCTTCACATTTTTAATGATATATCTACAACTCAAAAAATAGTTAACAAAATGACTTCAAAGAAGGCTTATTTTACTTAAAATTTAATCAGATTTCTAACCGTATTTAAGTTTTTTTGTATATCCTTTTATTTATGAGATATGATTGAAAAAGTGATGGCATGGTTTTTTCATAGAGTCGCGTGTAATCGTCCTGATACTCGTGGATGGTAGTGTAATACAATTTTTTTAATTTGATAAGAAAATTCCCGGCTTATTCCCAGTTCTCCCAGTCACTTTTGTCTTTACATTGCCCAAAACATCTCTAAAAGTTAAATCTAGAATTAAAATAATAAAACTTTTTAACATCTAAGTTTTTACCCTAGGGGCTGTTCACTCTCGAATCCATGATTCGTAAGGGAACGATTATTTACGAATATAAAGAAATCCGTGGAGAATCCGCCCGAATTTTAAGAAATCATAAGGATTCGCCTTTTACGAATCCAAGCGATTTCATGTGAATCCAAGATTCAGAGAATTCGTCACCTACGATTCCAGTCGATTCCATGTGAATCCGTGCAAATAATAATAAATTTTCAAATTATTGTTGAATTGGATTCTGAGTGATCAGCCCCTCGTTTTTACCCAGTAGCATAATGCTACTGGTGACTTACAATTTTTGAAAAATTATTGAAAGATCTATACAAAACATGGAATATTTTTTCAAAATTTATTAAATTCTTATTGTATATGAGATTATAAATACAAACAAGAAATATGATTCTTTATTATTATGAAAAAAACAAGTAATATTTATTAGAATTTAACAAAAAAACATCGATAATGCAAAATATCGATATATCGATAGTGCAAACATCGATAATATAAATGCCTCGAAACAAAAATATCGATTTTTCTGCGGGAAATTGTTAAATATGCATAATATATCAAATGTTTTTAAGCAGTTGAATGAAACGGCGTAGCACCCGGCATGTCCCACACTTAGGTACCCCATTCTGCCTCACACTGGATATTAACCCAATATGTCCGTTTTTCTTAGTACAAGTTCAACCTTTTCGTTCTACGAGTTCCGGTTTTGAAAAAAATTGGCACAAAGATTTTCTTATGGATTTGATTTTCCTCTTTGAGAATCTAAAAGAAAATTTCAATTTAATGATAAAAAGTTATAATTGTTTAAACAAAAAAGCCGTTTTTTAGTTTTTTTTCTTTAAAATCAGATTATTTAATCGAAATCGGTTTGGAAAAAATCCGGAACATCAAAATATCACGTCCAAAATGTTGGGACTATCAAATAGGCATGCTACCGAATACAAATTTTTTCAAATTTCAAAATGGCGCCTCAAAAATGGCCGTCTAAATATTCAAATTTAGAAAAATAATTTTAAAAAATTTGAACACTATTTTCTTTTAACTTTTATGCTTCATTTGAATAAAATAATGCTGCTTCAACAAAAAATATTGTTATTTGATGTTATTTAACAATATTATAAACAATTTGAAAACTATGGGACAAAGTAGAAGCAAAAAATTTATTTTCATAAATTCTTTTTCTTGGGGGAGGGGTAAAAATGGATACTGAAAGTAAGAAACTTAATTCAAAATTATTTTGCAATGTTGAAGAATGTTATAAACAATTTTTATAAACTAAAAAAACAATTAAAATCGAACGTAACAAACAAAAAATGATAATTCTCAAAAAAATATTTTAGCCCGTTAAAGTACTTTTTCTTTTCAATTTATTACTTCCTCATAGAGGAAGTATATTGTAATACCAAAATTTTTCGAGTTCGATTTTTTGACATATCTTTATGTTATTTGACCTCAGGAGTTCAAAAATGACATTTTTAAAAAATGTCATTCCGTATGTGTGTGTAAACATCACATTTTCATAAATATCTCGAAATCATGAAGAGCTTTTGGGTTGAATTTTTTTTTAAATTGTAGATCTCACCTGCGGACATAAAGCGAGAGTACTTTCTGATATATTAATAAAGTTTAACTAAATTTTTTTTTATTTTTAATTTTGCAAAAAAACGTTTTTTGCCCATAACTTTAAAAAAATGTTAGGACACCTATAAATGTTTTTCCATAATTTTGTAGAGTTTTTTTAGACGCATCTTTTGAGCCCTAATTGAACATTTTTTGTCCATATTAACCGGAGTTATTAAACTTTCAAAAATCAAAAATTTTTGAAAATAAGACTTTTTTGAAAATTTTGTTGAAAAACGTAGAAGTACATAACTTTAAAATTATCGTTATCAACTTGTAGAGCATTAAAAAACGCTTCGATTGACCTATTTTTTAACCTAATTCGATAATGAATTTCAAAATTATTGGTATTTTAAAAACCAAAAATTGTGAAAAATGACATTTTCTCAACTTTTTTGTTTGAAAATTTTTATTTAACTATTAAATTAATGTAACTATCTTGTAGGGTATTTAAAAATACATTGATTGACTCAAAATTCAATCACTTTTACCATATTTATAAAAAGTTATTCATATATTTCTATTATTTTCATATCCATGAGGAAGTAAAGTGTTCATGAAATGAGCACCAAAATTGTAAAAAAAATATACAACTTGGCAACGGTTTTTATAAAGAAATGTTTATTTCATTTATGAAAAATATTTATAACATTTATAAAAAATTGTTTATAACATTTTTAAAAATTGTTTATAAATTTTGGATAAACGGTTAACACATCAGTTTCCATTTTAATATCAGAATAAGTTAGTGGTAAAGAAAAAATTTGTTTCTTCTTTGAATAACTTTTTTTATAAAAATTGTTTATAACATTGATAAAATTTTTTAAATAATTTCAGACAAAGGTTTGTCTTTAATATATCTATTCTACAAATAAACAAACAAATAAAGAAAATCAAAATTTTTCTTCCCAGCCTGAACTGTTTTTTCTATGAAAATTGTTCATAAAAATTGTTTATAAAATTTTTAAAAATTGCTAAATAATGTAAAATGAAAGATTATATCTTTAACAAAGAATTTCATTACAAGAGGGAATTATATAATCACAAAATGCTTTTTTTCTATGATGCTACTTCATATTTAGCAAATTGCTTATAAGCATTGTTTTTAACATTTTTATACAATGTTTACAAATTTTTGATAAACGGTAAATACTTCAGTTTCCATTTTAATGACAAAAGAAAGTTAGTATTGAAGAAAAGAAGATTTTTTTCTACTCTGAACATCTTTTTTTATAAAAATTGTTTATAACATTGTAAAAAAATCTTAAAGAATATTATAGACAAAGATTTGTCTTTTTAATATCTATTTTAATGACAAACCAAGCAAATAGTGAAAAAAAATTTCTTTCCACTCTAAACTTCTTTCTCTATAAAAATTGTTTATAACATTTTTAAATATTGCTAAATAATGTTAAATTAACGTTTAAACCTTAAGCGACATTTTGATTACAAGAGAGCATACTAAAATTAAAAAATAATTTTTTTACCATTCTATTTCATGTTTTGCAAATTGTTTATAAAAATTGTTTATAACATTCTTAAACATTGCAAAATAATTTTGAATTAAGTTTCTTACTTTCACTACCCATTTTTACCACCCCAAGAAAAAGAATTGATGAAAATAAATTTTTTGCTTACACTTTGGCCCATAGTTTTCAAATTGTTTCTAAAAATTGTTTATAATATTGTTAAATAACATCAAATAACAATATTTTTTGTTAAAGCAGCATTATTTTATTCAAATGAAGCATAAAAGTTTTAAAAAATAGTGTTAACATTTTTTAAAATTATTTTTCTAAATTTGAATATTTTGGCGGCCATTTTTGTGGCGCCATTTTGAAATTTAAAAATTTGTTTTCGGCAGCATGTCACTGAAAAAATTTAAAGTGCTCTGCTGACTTCAATGCGAGACACCAGCGCGCTCTG